AAATCGCTTCAAGCAGCTGTACAGAAGCAGGATGAACAGCATCGAGCTGACGGAGGAGGAGAGGAAGGGTCTGCTGGAGGAGGCGGTCAGAGCTTTCCAGCTCAACGTCGAGGTGAGGGGGAGGGGGGGCACACCATAGTTTCTGTGTTCTACAAGTGCTGTTCTAAATGGGATGCGTTATCATTCTATCGAGTGGAGCACTGTACAGTAGAGTTGGGTACGATTACCATTTGTACTCTTAGGTTTTTGACGATCTACAGAAGATGCTGAGCTTTACCGAGAGCAGAACCGATGTGAGCCACAAACACTCTACTCCCGACACATGGGGTAAGACTCCCTGCCGAAAGACGTCCCACCCAGCCCACGTCAGTTATTGTGAGCCTGACTTTACGAACACAAGTCCCCCATGGCTCCGTCGATGTACCCTTGAGTAATGAAAATCATTACAAAAAATTAGTCTACATTGACTGTGGTTATATGCTTTAAACCATTACTTGTGGTCATCATGCTACACCCCTGATATAACCGTGTATAGTAACTGCAAAAACATGAAGCAGTAATTATTTTTTTCATTTGCAGGAGGTAACCTGCTGACACAAGCACAAGCCCCAACCTCACTCGTCCCTTCTTCTCTTCTTCGGTTAATTCTGGGCATCTGCGTTGCCTTAGCAACGGTGGGACTTGGAATATACAAATTTTGATACATTTTCTTTTTTTCTTTTTATTGAACCTGTAGTGCAGAATAGAGAAACTGAGTAACAGGCACTTAAAGCTGCTGATTCTTAGCTGCTTCTCAAACGTTGCTTAAAATAATGATGCATTTACACATTCCCTTTAAAGTACTTGGCTGAACAGTATAGCTCGTCTCTTCTGGGATTGTTCCAGTTTGAAACGTAGTATCTTAATGATAACCCAGCACTTTTAGTGTAATATGTAGCTCCAGTATGCAAATAACTCAATTGGAGTGTGTGTGTGTGTGTGTGTGTGTGTGTGGTTGGGGGCTGGAATCACCTATGCAGTTTGTACACTGTGTCTTGACACCAATCAATGCATTTAAAACAGACTTAATGTATTCTGATCATATCTTTTGATACAGTATTTCTAAAAATGATTTGTGAAAGATGACTGCTAGGATATCATGCATTTGTTTGTTTTTAATATTGTGTAGTTTTTAACATTGTGTGTCAACAGAAATAAGTAACTTTATATTTTCTAATAAAATTATTCCATTATGTGTGAGCCTATGTGTGATTAACGATTTCCCGTGAATACAGCACCAAATCAAGCTTTGGTATCACAACTGCATTCATTCATCTCCCCTTTCCCATGATGGTTGGCTGACATACTGGTATGTTGCTCACCTCTATGGGCCAAGTGAGCACATGATCTCAGCCATCCAGTGCTTCGGAGTGTTCCTCCCTAAATGACAGCTCGTCCTCAGCCTGGGACCAAGGTTATTACCATTAACAAATACTAAACATAAAATATAAGGACATTTTCATAAACTGCTTCCAAAACTGAAATAAAATAAAACAAATGTGAAACTTAGTTACATTTTTAAAATATTATTTAGCTAGAGTAATGATTTCTTTAATTACCATTAATAATACCTGGAACGCCTTTTGGCCTGCGGTAATTAGTACATAATGAGCACTGTGTATTTCAGTCTATCCCTAGAAGTAATATGACTAAAACTTAAACTGAACTACATGAAAACTAAAAAAAAGCCTTAAATTAAAAACTAAATCACAATGAATAAAGCCACGCTGAAAACTAAAATAAAACTAAACTGGATCGCGAATGACAATTGTTACGCTCCAGGCACGTACCCCAAACTTACGGCACATAACACAATTGAAAATAATAAAAATAACAACCAAAGACCACTGGCTGGGTCCCTTTCAGTGACCTTGTTTGGGCCCTTTGAGCAAAGAAACGCTCGTTTGCCTTGGATACTGATACACATCTGAGGGAAGAAACCCGTCTGATTAGCAGAGCGCACTTAATATCTGTACACAGCTACATTTAATAAAATGTAAAACTGTCCTGACAGGCACCCGTAGCCTCCAGGATAGGCTCCGGACCCCCACAACACTGAAGCTTCAAAAAATGGATGGATGGAAAACGTACAATTATGAAAATAAGGAGGTTTTGACTGGGTATTTATACAAGTTAACCACACACACGACGTACTGTGAGGTGCGGTTACCGTAATGCACTTACCTGACCCATTATCCTAACGCCAGTTAAGGGATGGAGAGCGAAGATGGATTCCCGAAACCTGCACTCGGAAGCACCCACCTGACACCTTTTCAAAAAGAGGCCAGCAAAGCGTACGTAGACAAATAAACATCCTATGTTCTTCATAGTAAACCCCGATCGAATGGAACAGACATCACCCTACAAATCTGTGTACCTCTGACAGGGCAGGGTATAAAGTCCATAGGGCACTAGAGCGTTCTTGATTGCTGACAGTGACGGTAAAGGAAATAAACATAGTCGCACAAACCAGACGGGGCACATTCATGTTGTTAACTGATATGCGATCTCTGCAGGGCAAATCGGGTTGCGTTGGGCTTCCGGACATATCTCAGAATAGTGGTGATGAACCGATGATTCGTCACTGGCCTGGGAATCTATCCAAAGCGTTTGACCGGAAATAGAGGAATGTAAGGGGAAACTTGTATTGTTTTCACTACACTTTTATCTATTAACTTAAGAAGTCTAATAGGCCTAAAAACGGACTGATCAACGCCGAATTTAATGCTGAATGATATACTGATGTTTTGTCTTTCTATTGATTTACGCCCAAAACAGCCGGTAACACGTACTTCACATGAGGGGGCACAAAGGTAGTAATATACACTTAATGTATTAATTAACCAGAAAATAAATGCTAGTTACGTACTTATGCCATGTTTGTTAATCATTAATCAGGACGGTTCATGATTTGTACTTGACTAGTAATTGAGTTACTAAGTTAGGCGACTTGTGCCCCTCAAGTGTTACCGATCAGCCGCCTATAAAATCCGCGTTTAATCTATGCTGTCGTTATTGAACAACGTGGAAAAGCCTCGCCAACAGATGAGCAATAACTTACAAAAAAATTGTCATTTTCTTTATTTTCCTCCGTCTCACGTTGCCATATCTATCGAAGCTGTCGGTAACCAAGTGCATCCTTTAGCCAAGGGAAAAGGTTAAACGACAAGAACAAAATAATTAACTAAGTAACCTTTAACGATGTGAAATGACATCAACCCAAGAGAAATATATGCCTACCTAATTATGCGCTTTTGTCGACCCCTAATGGCCGATGGTCGTCATTTCAAGCTCCCCCTCTGTCACGTTACACCTATTGACGCTGTCAATAAGTATTTTTTTTAAACCATGAATTGCCAAACATTAGTTACTCAACCCAAGGCAACCGGATGGCAGCTAATGATAAAAGGGCTTTCATGTTAGATAAGTATCGGCTGGGTAACTCGGAAGCATGTAAATGAAGCATTGAGATAGACAAAACAATGGGGGGGTGATGAGGTGTGAGAGAGGACAGATATACAAGGTCAAAAAACCAAGTCATGGTTTCTAAAAAGGGAAAGAAAGCAAGAACAAATGAATGTAAACAGAGGTAAAGTCAGCGTGGGAGAGCTGTTCAGCGTTCCATAGGCCAGCTGGCAAACAGAAGCAGCTGATATGCAGTTTCTACCTGCTTACTGGCTTCTACACAAGACTGGCGAGCGGGAAAATGACTAAGCAGTGCAGTCTCAGATGGACACACTGTACCGTCTCCTGACTCTGCAAATGAAGGCATCCCTCCTGCGGCCCTTAATCTTACCGCAGATTTGTAAAGATCCCTTCTGCTTGCCCCATTTGGTCCATTATTCTTCTTTGACTGACATGATAGCCGGACTGAGATCCCACTGAACTAGAATGACTGGATTATTAACTTCATCCATCCATCTATCCAGTGCAGGGTTCTGCGGTCTGCTGGCTCCTAAGCAGTATAGGGCCATGGGCATAATTTCCAGGGGTGTAGGGGGCTTAGCTGTCAAGTCTCCCGTTTTGGCCGGGAAACTACCGTATTTTACCCCTCTTTCCTGCCGTCCTCCCGTATTAGTATTTTCCCGTAAATCTCCCGTATAATATAATTTTTTTTTAAATCCTCTGCCTCTCCAAACTGAACTGTCAGTAGCCTTGTGAAAACTGCCACCTGCAGTAAACTGCAGGTCATTTACAACATTAACCAGGTCATAAATGCGGAGGTTAAAATGGCAATGCTGTGTGCCAAAAACAACGTTAATTTGTCGGCAACAAATCTGTATAATAAGTTATAGCGAATGAACATGAGAAATTAAAAGAAAATGTGTAATGAAAAAAAATGTAAATGACAAGTGGTTATTTTAGATTTCTTGTACACCTGTCTTAAAATGTAAGGCATAACTGGAGCTTGGTTGGGGTGGTGGGGTGGCTCGCGGTGGGTGCCGGAAAATTTCCCTTATTTTCGAATCCAAAACTTGACAGGTATGGTAGGGGGGTCATGACCCCCCCCAATAATCATGTTTCCCCTGTAATGGGTGGAGACCTCGACCCCCCCAATGTTCCAGCCAAAGCCAGGCTGGGTAAACTGTGGACGAGACGGCAATCCAGCACTGGACATATACTGACGAACACACCATGCTTACTAGACATTATTGTCAGAAAAATCTCCTGTAGTCTGCCACTGGACAATTCATCAAACAAAAATCAAAAGACCGCGGACAGACCAATGCGTCACCTACTGAATAACTTCTCTCATTATTTATAATGTACACAGTCACACACCCCATATCGTTGCTATCATTAACCTCCATTGTCATTGTTACATTATGGATATAATGTATCCAAACACAAATGTCTGTGTACATGACATTTACAGTTTATTGAACTGAGTAATCATTTCATGTGACAAGCAAAAACGAGCGGCTAGTAATGGCAAGCACAGCTATCAGTTTGAAGTCAACGGAGATATGGATAATGTCAGTCAGATTTAATTAACCTACGAGGATCTGTTTTTTATAAAAGGAGTCAAAAACATGAGATTCGTATGAGACAGCACTGCATGGGAGAGACTGTGTAAGTTGGTCCCCTCCCCAAGTTATCTGAACGTATCATTAACTACGTAACTATTTGCAAGAGCATTTGCAGGCCGTGACAACAGGATAAGGCACCTGGCGCCAAACACAGCGCTTGCCGAACAGGGATGCCCCCGAATCAGCTTCCCCCATTACCTCACTGCCTCTGTCCTCATTGCCCCAGCAGTGCCAGGCCAGGATTTTAATCTGCGTGACCTGTGCCTGTCTGCAGGACATGCCGCTGGGGAAGGAACAGCTCTGCGAGGTCCCTGACTGTTCGCAGTCTGTGTGCCGGAGCCACCGGGGCCAAAACACGGGGCCCAGGTCGACCCACTGGTAGCGGAGGCCACAGGTGGCTGTGCGGACCAGCCAGGCCCGGAGTGAACCGGCCATTTCGCGGGTGAAGAAATGCAGATCCAGCTCCTCTGCTTCCATCTCCAGTTTCCTCTGGTAGCGGGCCGCCCCCTCCATTAGCTCTGGGGAGGTGCTCAGGTTGAAGCCTCTGCTGCTGGCGACATGATTGGTCACTGCGGATGCCCTGGTGTCCCGGAAAGCAGTCTCCTCTGACGGCAGCCCCGAAATCACCCCTACCGAGACCCACATTCCCACGTCGGCGGGACGTTCGATCGACATCCAGAACGGATCGAAGGACGGGCCCAGAATTCGCAGCAGCCTGGCTGGCCGAAGGTGTTTGGGTTTCGGGGTGTAATGGTAGTCGTCCGCATTTATGGAGAGCGAGTACGGTCGGACCGGCAGCACCGAGGAGACGTACTGGGACCTGGACCGGAGGAAAGATAAGTCCGTCCCAAGGACACCCCGGCTTTGGAGACTCTCGGAGTGGAGTTTATGCTGGTGTACAGACGCGGAGGAAGCGTCAATCGACTGGTTGCTGGAGAAACCCGGGAAAGTCCAGCACATCAGAAGGGCGACGCTCACAAGCCAGGCAAGAAAGCAACTCATGGTGAAGTGGAGGATGACCTGAAGTTCAGCCTTTCTCGCAAAACCGATCACACCGCAGTACAAGTGGTCGCCAAAGTTTTCCCCTTTCCTTCAATTGCATCCAGTATAAGTTTTCAATCCATTGCATCCACCTCCCTCTTTAACGGTACTGTCAGCCACTGAAGCTCAAAATTTTGAGAACTAACCAGAAAGGCATGTCAATATGCTCCTCCTCCTAGCCCCGGCTAGTGTCGAAGCCTTACTGTTTGCCCCTCTCTCCGTGTCTGGGCTGTTTGAAGTCATTATGTGCTCTTTCTATCAGTTCAGACATCCTTGAACACAAATGCAATAACACAGCAAAGAAGAGGGGACTATCAAGTGAAAAACACTGTATCTGCTATGGTAGGAACAGCCAATACAGTCTACAGCCGCACATGGTAGTCAAGGATTTGCTGTTTATTTTCAACTGACAGTGACTCTGGCGTCTGTTTTCTTGGAACTGGGGCTGAGGACTTAATTCTGTGGTATCAAGTGACCTCTAAACAATGATAATTTTATTCTTAAAAATACCCCCCCCCCAAACACCTCCTTTTACTTCCTGTACATGGTCTGCTTCATGCACATAAACAATTCGTAAGAAGTCCGAACTTTCTCAAGAATTTCTGCTTAAGCTGGTGCTAGAGCACTAATTGTAGTGCTTTTGCTCTGTTGTTGTCGTCTCCATAGCACTTCTGCTGAGGGTCGCGGTGACAGCACGCGGAGGTCAGGCTAGACCATTCTTTCCGAGGCCACATACTCTGACTCATTCTGGGGGATTCCCGAACATTCCCAGACCTGCCGGGAGAAATAATCCCAGCAGCGTTCCCTAGGTCTCTGCCCAGTGTGACGGCTCGGTTGTCCAAACCACCTGAACTGGCCCCTTGTCAACCCAAAAGAACCATGACTCAATTTCAAAGTCTCTGGAAGGTCCTCATGCTATGACAGAACGTGAGCCCAGTAACCCTGTGTAGAAACATCATTTCTGGTTATTTTTTTTTACTATTGACCTTTATCTTGGTGTTTATCCACTGCACATGACCAGAAGTAAAAACAAAGACACAGACTGACCAGTAAAGTACGAGCCTCAAATGATGATTTAGTTGATATTGTTTCATCAAAAACCAGTAACCAAACCATTTCACTGGTCAATCTCATGGTACCTCGCCTAATAATTCAAGTTCAACATCCTATTAATACTTAAACACCAAAGAACTAACCCTCCTCAACTGAAAGGTCCTATTCATTTTTTCCCCCAAGAAAGCATCACTTTGATTTGAGGTGCCGACTCTCATCCCTACCACTCCAGACTCAAGAATAACCTATCTGCAAAAAATCTGCAGAAAGTAGGACGTGTCACCTCTAGCTCCCCCTATTGGATGCCCTTCGAGCTACAGATGCTACCCTGTCCATAAAAAAAAAAAAATCAAACAGGAGTGGAGACGAGATGCAGCATTGTTGGAGGCACTACATTCATACAAAGAGCAAACAGAACATGGTAATCACTCACGTACCCCATATTCCAGCAGCGCCACCTTCAGGTGGGAGACACCAATACCATTTATTATATATATATTTTTTTTTTTTGATTAAACATGTTTTATGCCTGTGAAAAAGCAACATCCCCACAGAAATTCAGTTAGTCCTGATTAAAGACATTTTTCCCCAAACAACACAGTTATTCACCAGAATCATAATTATCATTAACAATAGTGCATCCACATCCAATTAAACTGATTCTTCATGTGTCAAGAATATCACCAAAAACCAAAAGATTAGCTGCATTTTTACATAATAAACACACTAGGCATGTTCCAACAGCATGCAACTACTTCATAATACTTCAGAGTAAGTTACAACATTTTCTCCATCAATTTAACAGTCCTGCCTGTCTACCTCCTTGTTGTAACGGGTGTGATGCTTAAACAGTACGCGGTCACCCCGATCGCATATTCTACAGCACACTCGTCCAACACTCACTCCATGCGTCCACTACTCTGCACGTCCTTAACTGCAGACCAACGGCTGCGGCTCCGTCGGCATCTCAGAGTGTGAACAGCTGGTCATGTGCCGTCTCGTCGGAGCGGGAGGGCTGTGATTGGGGTCGAGTCAGGGCTGGGGTTGTGTTACGAACTGTGGGGAGATGGTCAGCCACCTTTGCTCTATCTTCCAGGAACTTGTCAAACTCTTTAAAAAAAAAAAAAAAAACACACAGGATGGATTTAACTGAACAGGAGAAAACTGTCAATACACTGGCAAACATAATGGTTTCCCTTCTCAGAAAAATTATATTTTTTTCCCTAGATAACACAGGCAGACATTTGCACATTAATAGACTGCTACGATAAATAATACAAAACCAAACCAATACAGTGCAAGAGACATCAGGGAAAGTATTGTACAGAATTCCACAGTGAGGACTGAGATATAAATATTGCACAATGGGTATTACGTTGACATTTGTTGTGCGTCATGTTGACAATAGCTTTTATGAAGACTCACCCTCACTCGTGACACCCTCGGTCTCTCCAGTGTCGTCCTTCTGCATCGCAAAAGAACATAAACCATAATTCAGACACAGCATCACCACAATGCGTCTAATTTCTATATTTAATTAGATGCAAAACTCATGAATGCAAACAGATTATAGTTCTCTGCCTAATGGAAATGCAGATGACAGAAACTAGCTGGAAAAAAACTGCCCGCTTGATAAAAATGGTGTATTGCATCATCAAAATGAACATACACACTTCTGTTTGGTTAATGTTTACTGGATACTGCAATAAGTGGATCCTGCTGCCTAGTACTTAGGGGGAGGTGGGGAGGGCACCTGCCATCTCTTACCACATCCTCAGAGAGCCACTTCTCAATGTCTTCCATCACCGCTGTCTGGGGGGTGGGGATCTGAGGGAGGGAGGGTCTATGGGTTAACATGGTTCACAACCGGCATTGTAACGCAACTCCAATTAACAGAGAAGGATAGGAGACAGGAATCTGAGCAAAACAATAAAGTATTAATTTCTGCTGCATTGCACCCATTGCATGAAAAGACACCATAATTCTACATACCTTTAGGGTATGTCTGCCCTGCACTGTGATTCATTGAGCAATTAGACCAGAAATCTATCCCATAACAGATTCCTTTACACACTGACAGCAGAACACATCTCTTTAGTTCAGATATAAAAGTTACTCTCGCATGAGAGGGATTATTGCACGGCATGCAAACAATTCCATGCAAATTCTCTTTAGCACATAAGACCCATAATTCCCTTCCTCATCTACCAATCAGAATGGGAGAAGGAAGAAAAGAATCAATCTGCATCGTCCTTTAGACACCCAGACATGATTGTTTTTAGTTATTTAGGTGTTAAAGCACTGAAGTACAGACACATGGTCAGCAAGATAACACACATGTACACACACAGAAACCAGTATGCGAGGATACACGCATTTTTAACAAACACCATGCGTAAAATGCACACAGATTTTTACTCACACGGCAGACTTAAACATCTGAACAGAGAACATACACACTGATGTCATATTGCATGTTTACATTTCATAGAAAGACTTTGATCCAAAGTGGGAAACACTGGAAATAAAATAATAGACTGGTATTTGATCACAGAGGATTTCTAAATCATTTCTGGAAAAATTGCATGGTTATGTAAGGGAGAGTGTACTGACCGCCCCTGTGACGTGCAGTCTGCTGTCCAGGGCTCCGGCCAGTCCCTCTACAGCCCCAGGGTCCTCGTACCGGACACTGAACAGCAAACACAGGACTAGGCCTTAAACTCCTAGCACGACATGCCATTGATGACTGTGGGTGAATCTCAATACCAAGATCGTACTTGTGGCCTTGGAAAGACCGGTCTTGCTAACTCGCCTTCCAAGAACGAACTTGTGCGGCAGTGAATCATGGGATTGGCCTCGTTTGGCAAGAATGCAACTGATGTATCCTTGATATTTTTGGGGGCGGAGCCAATATCCAGGGATTTCTACCGTCCTCATGTACTTCTGTTCTTGAGTATTGGAACTGGTCTTCAGCAACGGAAGAAGACATAAGACCGGTACACAGGAGCACAAGTACAGTTAAGTGTGCATATTGAGATTCACCGTATGTCCTTAGAATGCCTATACAGTAGAAAAGCTGTTTTTACAGGGTTTTAGGCTCTGGGTTTCCTCTTCTCAAGGGCAAAAGCTCCACAAATTAAAGGTGCAGCTCAGAAAAACTGCAGGACAAACACGCCAGCGTGCTTTCTGAGCTGGATTAGGCGGCCCAATGCGGAAGTGCTGAGTCAGTTTTGACATGCTAAAAAAATAAAAAATAAAAAAAAAATAAATAAAAAGCTGCAGGGGATAATCTTGTTACTTGGGTAACTTTGGTAAACATTTTGGCAAAAGGCAGCATGACAAGATTAAGCTGCTCGCCAAATTCCCACAGGAAAGCCTTGACCTGTCAGAACTGTTTACGCAATCTAGCTAGCTAACAGAGTACCCCAGTTTGTAAAAGACTCCCTGCATCCCTGCTAAAGTGACGTGCTCAGTTTGCATTAAAAAGAGACAGCTGGCGAGGCTCAAAAACAACTGGCAGCCAAACAGCAAAATTCGGTTTCATAATGTCATAAATATTCTATTGTTATTCTTGTTTACAACAAATTCTGAACATGTTATTCTGAAAGAAGACATTTTTAAGAAGTATATAAATATTATCAGTTCTGATATTACAGGACCAATACATCCCATTAGGTAGCAAATATGTATTTAAGAACACACACGAAATCTGATGTTTGCCATCCAGCATATTTATTTTCACAATCAGTCCGGGAAGTTTTAGATCTGCTATTTAGGCCTACTACCTCAGTCATGAGTGTGAAGCCATTTCAAATTTCAAATACTGATAAAAAGTGCATGTGAAAACCTGAAGCAGCCAAGCACCAGCGCAGCGGAAGCGACAGGAGTCCATTTCGCAAAAGCTACAGAGGAGTTAGGGGGTCTTGAGTACCCTTACCACTTCCTCTGCTCCGCCAGCGAGCTGTTCCTGGTCTGAGCAAACATGTCAAACTCATCCTCCACCTCTGTGCCTGAGGGTGGGGTTGGGGGGGGGGAGGTGTTAAATGGGTAACAAGGTGGTTTTTACAAATTCACCTGACAGAATGACAAACATCCCCGAAAAATGACTCGCTGTGGCACTTACTGTGTGTGGCCGTCTGTTTGGGTGAAGCGGTGGCGTCCGATTGGCTGCTGGGCTGATTGGCAAGAGAGGTGGGAGGAGCAAGACTGAGGTCAATCAGGTCTGTGGAGACTGTGTCAGATCGCTTTGGAGCGGGGGAAGGAAAAAAAAAAAAGACTATCAATACCGCAGCTATTTTGACCAGGTACAAAAACAATCATTTCATGCCAATCTTACCCGCTCTGCAGCATGTGGGGAACTGCTAAGCCTCTCGAACCTAGGTACAAACAGGGAATAAGGCTGGTTTCTGGAACAATCCAAGGGACACAGTGCAGAAGTGTACTTGGTGTGAACTCCCAGCCAGCCATGTGCATGGAGCCCGAACAGAATTGCGGTTTGCGACCCCAGACCTGTGGTAGCTCAGGAAGGTGTTGTTCAGGTCATCGTTGACAGCCAACAGCTCCCCTATCAGACCTTCGTCCGCTAGCCTGGGGATCAACTCCAGCACCCTGCTCTGCATGTCTCTGCACACTGTGTACAGCTGCTACTGACACACAGGGGGCAGCAGAGAGTCACACAGGGCCAGCATCCGGCCAGGAGGTGTCCAGCAGCAGAGAGACCGGCTCGAACCTGCAGCAGCTCCACGTCTGACTGCTGTGCGCTGCTGGGGGTCAGCTGGCTCAGCATCTCTGACATCACCTTCTGGTTGCCCCGAACCACTTCCAGGTCGGCTCTGAGCTTCCTCACCTGTGCGAGTAAGAAGCTATAACGTCCGGTACCTTCTTCCATATGTTACGGACGCAGAAAACAACGAAGCTTCTCCTGAAGCAGGGTGCTTCCCCTTCATGGTGTTACCGTTTCCTGTTCAGGCGTGGTGATGCTTGGTCCGGTGTTCTGTGCGAGTGGGGGATTCTGGGGTGGCCTCGTGTCAGAGGATCCAGATGGGGGCGTGGTGGATGACTCATTCTCTGGCACACTCTGCAGAAAGAAAGTTTGGTGACAGTGGTTTCCTAGGGGACGACATTATGATGTCAGTGTGTTACAGTCTCCGCATGTACGCACCCTGTGTGGAGTGTGAATGGGGGACAGGGCGTCCAGGTCGGTCATGGGGAACTCCAGCCCCCTCCTCTTTAGGTCCTCATACACAGAGACCACGCCCATCAGGGACGGGGAGCTCCGGAAGGCATCTGCCCAGGCCTGGGGGGGGGTGGGCAGGGGCAGTATGGAAGACAAGCCCAGTTATGTCGATGGTTTTCCCAACTCTGATTGGCCAACACTACTCAGACACACAGGGCTAATAGACTGGCAGGAGAACTTTTTAATAAAAAAATAAAACTATTTAATTGCTGACTTTCTGCATGAATTCTGCCTGACTGTTACCCTGCGTACATTTCGGGAAAAACTACAAAAATGACGCCATCTTGATTTGTATGCTAAATATCCTGAAGGTGTTTTGGGCCAGGCAGCCTAGTGAATCACACTGCTCAGTAAGACAGAACTGCACGCATACCAGGAGACGTGGGGCGGGTGCGGGAGTTTTGGGGAGGGCCGCAGCTGGGGGCCCAGCCGCTCAACTCAGCTGCAATCAGGCTCCAAGGACGCAAGGCAAAAGTTTTGCTTGGAGCAAAAAGAGCAACAGCCTGGACGTCCAGTTTCAGTTTGGTCCAGCCCGCGTTCTGGATCTTGTGTATGTTGCTTAGCTCATCTATCCAACAAAATGGCCGCTTTCTTCCACCCAGTTTTCCCACGCACACTCTGAGAAGCAAAGACACTCACAGACAGACACAACACGACACACCTGTATGAGGCTCAACACCCGGTCGTGAAGGATCATTGGCGGGTTGTTCTTAGGCAGGATGGCCTGGACCAGAACTCCTTCCACAAACTCCCTGTTTGACACCAACACGTGGAAACGGTGTCCACAGTTCTTCACACAAGTCTCCAGAACCTAAAGGGGCACAACCAGGCCAGAAGATATTCTCACTTAGACATATCATGGAGGAAGAGGACAGGGCGGCATAAGGACATGGACGGAACAGACACTCACTGTTAGCGCAAACATGACTTCTCTGAAGTTCTTATTACCCACAATCCTCTTTTTTATTGCTCTCACTGCCTCTTTTGGCCTGAAATGCAAATTATGAAGACAAAGGTTGGCAGCAGCACCAAAAATAACGACAAAACTGATAGCTTACGACACAAACATAAGACGGCCTTGTGCATCACGGCGGTGACGTCAAAAGCACTTTAACGGAAACCGTTCAGAAGCCCGACAGCAAATCCCGCGTCATCCTCGGCCAGCGACTGCCTACCCCTCGTCCGTTTCATTGACGATGTCACAGATCTCCATGTTGAGGGCCCAGTCTTCCGTCGGGAGAGAGGAGCTCGTGGCCCGCTCTAGCAACAAGAACACAAGGTTTCAGGCTAAACATCGCCTCTGTTTCAGACTCACATAAACTGCTTGTCTCTGAGGGTCTTGCATGTTTTTCCACATTGTTCAGAAGTCCCCAGAAGTGCCATTGTTCAGACCGACATCCTATCCAGGGTGTCCCCTGTCTCGTGCTGATAGCTATTATGGATCATGGATGGATGACTTTTAAAAATCGACTAGGATGTAATAGATCAGCGTCGTGGTGGAAAAAATAAAAGAACTACAACTCTACCATACAACTGTGACTTAAGCCATATCTACCCTTTTTAGTACTATATTTTATGGCTGCAAGACAAACTGGCACCTCTAAAAGTATATACGAAGCTAAATAAAACTAAAGACTGACGTAATGGGATATGTAGGGAGAATAACTTATTAAAGTTTATTTTTACATGCACTGGAAATGAGAATGGTTATGCACTGCTAGATTTGTAACTTCACTTCCTGTTTAAAAGTCATATCTATTCCGCTTTTCTTGCCGTTTGTTGTAGCAGATCCTGCGTTACTGCTGCCTCCACCCCTCCTTGGCTGGATCTCACCCTCTCCCTCCGCTTCATGTGACCGTCAGCTGCTTTGATACACACACTCGGTCCGCAGGGGACAGAAAAAGGGGCCGTTTTGCGACTGTAGACGCGGGTAGAGAAATTTAGCGCAATTTAGCGATTGTAGACGTGGTGGGTATTTTATACGTTTGCTGAAAATAAAGGGGGATACGGGTAAATCCCAAGCACAAGTGACTAAGAGCTACACAGCTTCCCGAAACTATTTCGTCAGCAGGAAAATCAAAGGGCACATCCCTATCGCTATTCCCTTTAACTGATTATCGGGCAATCAAATTCATTTTACTTTAGCCCTAGTCAGATAAAACAAACACGTGTCGAAGTTACACTGGGGGCCACATAACTTCGGCATGTTTATGCCGGGTGTCAGTATCACGCCCGCATCACGCCCGCCCCCAGTGCGACTGCAGAGAGAACGAGCACCGCCTAACAGAGTGCAAAACCTTTCCCGGCTTTGATGTGCGTTTTAGACGTGCATGCAGTTTCTGCGAAATATGCAAACTATTATTCTTGCCTGTAGACCGTAAAATGAAGGCGCCCACCAAACGACAGCGTATGATCGAACCAACTTCCCCATAATTCAAACACTCAGACCCCCAAAAAAACACAAGCGGACAAATCAGACGAAGATCGGGGGTGTCCTAAAACACAACGCCGTGTTACTGTCCGATCAGGGTCAGAAAATAAGTATCTGACAGTAATAATAAGTAACATTGTATTCATTATGAAAAATGAAGCATCCGTCTTTGCTGCGTTTTCCCATTATTTCCTAAATCATTTTCTTTTAGGTTACTTTCGATTGGCGGAGAAAGCTTTAACCGAGATCAGAGTTTAATATTTACCGATTCGCTGGCCGACCGGCGTAGAAAACGGGTTCCCTATAAGAAAGTCCATCTTGCTGCTGGCGTACACTTTACTTTCTCTGCCTTTGAGGCCACTCCTCGCCGACTCCCCAAACCCCCCAGGACTCCGCTCGGCGTCGGGAGCGCGCAGCGACCTGTGTACGCGCGGTCACGTGAAAGCCGAATAAAAGAGAATGTGCGCCAACAAACACGGGCGCATAAAGACTACAGAAAAACAGCTCGCTGTATTTTCCTTTATTCCTTATTCTTTTTTTTGGCGTGCAGATAGCAACAATTCGTCTTGTTGGTTACGTGCGGGGTTTTAGTTTTAAGGGGAATTTTTTGTGTTAGAAGGGGAACTTTGAGTCGTGATATATTTGAACTCTTTAACTGTAGCTGCATTGTATTATTGGTCGGTGCCCGAACGGTCCCAGTGAATGCTGATTAGATTTTATTGAAATGTTATTGCACCAATTTAGCAAGCACTTATGCTTATTAGTGTATTTATATTTAGTTTTAAAACCATGTGCACCTTCCGGACAATACGTCATTCGTATTTAGAATATTATCGCGAACCTTGACCAGTTACGTAGGGGCATCGGCAAGGCTGAACTAGCCTTAAAGTCCATGTTGTCCAGCGGCCACCATCCATAAACCCATGTACTGTCGGCACACAGTTGAGTCTTATTATATAACGTGGACTGCGTAAGACCTACTATTCAATTTACGTGCTTAATGGAAAAAAAAGCATTATCGTAATGATCTTGACATGTAGCCCATATCACCAACAACTGAACCTTGAAATGACACCAGGCCGCATTTAAAGTGTTTATTTCTCATTTGATATTTCAACACAGCAATGTTTCTGTAAGCCTTTTGAATGTAATTTTTCTATTAACACAGCTGACTTACAACCCCTTCCTGTCCCATAACCAATCATATTTACTGCCACATTACTATGTGAAGATAAACATATAAAAACAACCCCCCCCCCAGGCCACAACTCTCACTCCCAAACCTCCAGTATTACCACTGGGTGCCCCTTCAAGGAACAAGTAGCTCAGTTCTGCAAATTAGCATTGCTGTGTGTTGATGCCGCTATCCTGCAGATGAGGTGACCCCCATTCAAACCGGGGGTCTATACGGGGAAAGCGAAATGAACTAAGATTAAACATAGGAGATCTACGGCCTGCAGGTCGCCAAGTCCTTCAGGGAGTGAGTTTCTCAGAAAGACCCCCCCCTTCCACTCTCATGCTGTCCCTGTCATGCACGTCCCCTCACGGCTGAGGTGTCCGTGTGGCTCAGAGAAGGCCCTCCATCTCCCTCATGAAGGCCTCGTACACCTGGTCCTTGGTCTGCATACTGGCCTGAGACACCGACCCGGCCCCAGCCAGAGAGCCCACCTGCCCGGGGTTCCCGGAGCCTGTGGACACCCCCAGGAGCTGCTGCTGCTTTTGGCCGCTCAGCCCGTCCTCCCCGGACTTCCTGCCGCCTTTGTCCACGCCCATGGCCCCGCCCCTCTCACGTCGCACCCTCAGCGCCGTGGGCACGAAGCGCGTAACCTCTGCCTTGGGGTTGATGATCTGCGGCTTGGCCGAGATGGTGGCGCCCCCTGTGGCCGGCCCCCCGCCCAGGCCCGCAGGGCCCCCGGCGGCAGACAGTGACGTGATGTTAGCCCGCTTCTCGATGGTTGGCGCGTGATGGTGACCGGCCGGGTTGGCGCCCGAGGGTGGGGCACCGGTTCCCGGAGGAGGGGGCAACTGCATTACCCCCGGGCGGAGGGTGAGGGGCATAGAGGGGGGCGGGGGCATAGAGGGGTTGCTGGGGGTGGCCAGGGAGCTCTCGGGGTTCCCGGTGGGTTTCTGCCGGTGGACGATGCTGGGGGGGGCACTCAGCACGTTCGGGTTGAGTGGTGGAGGGAAGAGTGAGAGGGGAGGGGCCATGGGTCTCGGGGGACCCGTCCGGGGTGGCGGGGGAGGAATTCCTGGGGGGGGTAAAACATTAAGGCGTAAGCAAAGGGGAATGCACCATTTTTCCAGCTACTGACAGCCAACGATGAATGTATGGTTAGGGACGAGGGACAGACTGAGAAACTTACCTGGGGGGGCTGGGGGAGGCAGTCGGGGAGGCGGTCCTCTGGGTGGGGGGCCAGGAGGTAAGCCGGGAGGGGGACCAGGTGGGGGGCCGGGTGGCCGGCCTGGTGGGGGTCCGGGGGGTAGCACTCGAGGCATGGGCCCCCTGATTGTACCCGGCATTCCTGGTGGCCTCAGGAAAGGTGGGGCACCTAAGGAGGGGGGAGAAGATTAAATATGTCACATCGCTAAATGGACTAAGTGTTAGAGCCTCTGGGCAAATACCAGAGATCACAGCTTTAAATTACATGCTAGCATGATATTATCAAGACAACTGATCTACTTGACTGACATCCGTACCATCCAATCACTCACCTGGAGGGGGTCCTGGGGGCAGGCCTGTGGGTGGGCCAGGTGGTCTCATTGGTGGAACAGGTGGTGGACCCAGTGGAGGAGGACCTGTGATAGGTGGACCCTGCATGTGGGGGACAGGCTGCTGCGCGCCGACTGGTGCGGACGGCGGAGGGACTTGAGGCGTGCCGACGGAGGCCACAGACTGGCTGTCGGACACTGGCCTTTCGTCGGTATCCGATTCATCTGACGGGTCAGTATATCCCTCGTCATCTTCGTCCTCGTCTTCCTCCTCTTCATCGGGAACGGACTGACCTAAACAGAAAGAGCAAATCCTTGTAATAAAAAAAAAAAAAAAAAGTTTGTGAACCTGCGATGTTGTGCAGATGCCTGCATGGTGGGGGGGGGGTGCAGGGTGGACGCCTACCCGCCATCCGAAGCATCATGGCCTGCAGAGGGGTGATGGTTTTGCTCTTCTTCACAGTCTTCTTCCTCCTCCTGTCTTTGGAAGCAGGTGGCGGCATGTCGGCGAACCTCACGCTGCGTCCTGCGTCACGCAGCGAGATCAGAAACCGAACCGAGCCGCAGCCGGAGAGACTCAATCGCGCAGGGAAACACAAGCTGTCTGTCTCACCCGTAGGCTTCTCGGAGGACGTCTCCCTCTCATCCCCACGCTCCCTCTCCATCTCCAGTCGCTCCCCCATCATCAGGGACATGAGCCTCCTCTCCTCCTCGCCCCCGTCATCCCCATCGCCGCCGTCGTCCGAGTCGCTGTCATCGCCGATGTCCCCGTCGCCGCCGCTCTCGCTCCCGCTGTCCCTCCCCCCCATGTGTGAGGCATCCATCGCCCCCTCGCTGTCCGAGAGGGGGTCAGCTATATCTGGTAGATAAAGCATGGTAGGGATTGACACAGATCTCGTGTCCATCCTGTGACTCGGAAGCAGTGTTTCCTACCCCAGTCCTCAGGGATTTCAAGCCAGTTCAAGTTTTTGCTCCCTGCCTCCCAGACTGGCTGGCAGGAAGCAAAAACACGGACGGTCTGGGGGTCCCCAAGAACCGGATTAGAAAACACTGCACTGAAGGGCCAACGCTCTCTTCAGATTTTCCCGATGTCCCTGGACTGATGTGCTTTACAACAGTTTGCATTAAATGGAAAAAATAACCATTAATCTCCTCTTTCAGGGACGACAGAGTCTCAAAACCCACTCAGCCTGCAGGACAGTGACATGATCAACAGGCAGAAAGGGCTGCCCAGAAAGAGCAGTGAGTACATCTCCGTTCACCACGATAAGATATTGGGTTCCCAGCTGCAGGTGAACGGCTTTACCGCACTGCAGAACAGGAAAGAAGGTCAGAGAAAAAGGAGAGAGGCGCACCTGTGTCTGCACCGTACTCCACATCCCTCCTGAAGTGCTGCCTTCTGCGAGAGTACAACAGGAGCACCTGGGGGGGAGGCGGCCCAGGGGGTGGGCCTGGGGGTTTCCTGCCTGGGGGGAGTCGGGGGACCCCTGCCAGCGAGGCCACCGTGGGGGCAGATGTAGACACATACGGTCCCTTACTGAGGAGGGGAGATAGAACAGAACACAAATGCTAACTGTGAGGACGATGATATGCAGTGTTTCCCAATCAGGTCCGCAGGGACCCCCAGACGGTCCACGTTTTCGCTCCCCCCCCAGGTACCGAGCAAAAACATGGACCGTCTGCGGCTCCCTGAGGATCGGATTGGGAAACCGTGCACAATAGGAAACAGCGAGAGGGCTGGAGGATGGCGGCTGAGTACAGACCCAAACGAGGAGCCCTTCTTCAGGATGGATGGGGGCTGTGCCCCGGGAAGGGGGATATCCTGGATCAGGATGCTGGAGGGAGCGTGCGGCATTTCTGGCAAGGGGATGCTGTCCACCTCCACCAGTTCCGCATTCTGTTAAAAAAGTCAAGCATCAAACAGGCCCATCAACACGGCGAAGGACAGATTAACACACTCAGGGGCAAGAATGCAGCGGAGATGTTGACCACCTGGACTGCACTTCTTTTTGCTACTAATTACATTGTTACAAGCTACCTTATCAAGCTGAACGGAACATAAGGAGAGCATCTGAAGCTAAACCAGCACAGCAGGCAACCAATGAGGATGTGTACAGCTGAACTTGAACACTGCATGCTTGAGAAAGTGTGTAAAACCATCACAATAATAAATAAGAGTGGGAGGTATGTAGGGTAGTTTAAATCACAAGCCTCTTTTAATCCACAGACACACACACCTTGACGGAGTCGAAGTAGAGCGACAGCTGTCCCCGCTTGGTCTCGTACTCAATCTCCAGCTTACGCAGCTCCTTGTAGGTCTCGGGATTCTCCCTCTCGTACAGGCGGACGATGCGCTCGAATGTCTCCCGCAGTTTCTTCCTCTTGTCCCTGAGCACCTTCTCGTTCAGCTGGGGCATCTGCACTGGGTTAAACTCTGGCAGGACCAAGGAGGAATCCACATAAACGGGTGTGGACTGACTTCAGTTGCAGTCACAGTTAAACCACCAAATTCAACGTTTTCTTTTGCTGCTACTAACCATGAAGTTCTCAGAGTTTTCTGTATTGATTCTGTGGACCACACATCCAATAATGATGCACTGGATGGTCTTACCCATCTCATCCAGCTTCTCCATGTCTCGGATGATCTGCCTGGGGTCCTTCATCTTTAACACAGCCGCCCTCACCATCATGCGCTGCTTCTTATTCTGAGATGGGAGGCCAATGTGCAAGACTTAATTTCATACTATAAAGAAGTAGATGACATCTTCTGTGCAAAACCTTCCATTCAAAAGTAATCTCTGACTTTCAAAAATGGCGTTACCTTTTTAAGTTCCCGCTTTCGAGCCTCCTTCCCTGGGAAAGACAGCAAAGAAGTTAGATTGGCCCAGAGTAGCTGACAACCCATGCCAAAACAATCGTAGCAATATATGTACCAAACGGGGTTATATCTGAGTTGATCATAGAGATCTAGTCTATTACATCCATCATACCTAACACAGCAGCTTTGTCTACACAGACATAACACTAATACGTTACTTACTGGCTTGGTCGGTGGGATTCATGAACTTCCCACTCTTGGTGGAGGAAGTTGAGCGTCTCCCCATGGTTTCACGCTTTCTTTCGCCCTGAAAAAAACAAGGGACAAACTAGATATAGACAACTGAAAGCGACTCAAAAATACAGCTGCCCGAAAAGGTACCACATGCAGAACCAACTGTCGCGATTGGGTTGCTAGCATAAGACCCAATCAAACTACTGTCTGAAGGGTTGGGGTTATCACAATTCGCATCTACATGAAATAAAAAACGAATTAACAGGATTTCCGTCCTGCTAACCATGCAACAATGCTTAACTGCGCACTGAATATTTAAGTAAAAAAGATCCAATGCGTTCTTTGCTGAATAATCAATACGGGCCAATAGGTAAAATATGCCGAATATTAGCTAGCTACGCACCTTTCTCTATACAATAATTAGAGGGTGCACAGCCCTCTATTCCAGAAAGTTCCTCCTCCTTTTCCTTTTCAATAAAAATACAAGACAATGTTTGCTCTGTGTTTTGGGCGCCGCGCTAACGTGTTAGCTAAACGCACGCTCCGCCATTTTGCGGCGTCATAACCGGAAATAGACAAACTGACTTCCTGAGCCGCAAGCCTGCGCTGTGTCAGACGTCACTTCCGCAAAGCTAGTTTGTGCATTTCTTTGGTATCATCAGGGGGAGAACAGTTCATTGAAAGCTTTGTGTCAAAAGAGAAGGCAAAGCTATAAAGCACTTGCTTGTAGAATAATAATAAAATGCAGCCGAAATGTATATGCAAGTCTGGCAAATAGGACGTTATGGTCGTTGAATGCGGAAAAGTTCAGTATTTGTACATTTAAGTGTGTTTTCTGAATCTTTTTTGGTAAAATTAAGACGATTAACTATCTTTCAACCAAACTTGGATAAGGTTGTGCTAAGAACTTATTTTGATCTTGTGGGGACATTTTTTCGATCCCCACAAGGGAAAGCTCAATTTCATAAAAATCTGTGAATGCAATAATAAAAAAAAATTGAAAAAAGTTGGGATTACGGTTTTGCCCATAGAAATTAATAGGTGGTCCCCACACAGATATTGATATCTGATATGGGTGTGTGGGTTTGTATTTACCACATTGTGTTAAAACCTGTTACTTTTTAGCTTGTGGGGACATTTTTCAGGTCCCACAATTTAAACCTCAATTTTATAAAAAAAACTTGTGGATGTAAATAAAAAACTAAAATAGCTAAAAGTCTGGAATTTTGTTTGGTTACTTATGGTTAAGGTTGGGGTTGGGTAGGGGTTAAGGTTGTCACTGCTGGGATTAAGGTTTTTCCCATAGAAATGAATGGAGAGTCCCCACAAAGACTGGAATACAAACGTGTGTGTGTGTGTGTGTGTGTCCAGCGGTAGGTAGCATTCTGACCTCGTGAAGTGGTTAAGGTCTATTTTTTCACTTTCTTTTTGTCTACTACAGCATAGTTGTGTTCAACAGCACATTCACATACATTATGAGGAATAGCAACAGTCAAGGAATGAAACATAATGATACACAAAAGTGTGTCTTTTAATGTAATAATTGGACATTCTACAGACATAAATGAATGCATCAGCTTAACCAGAACACTAGGAGGTTATAGGCTGGTCTTTCATTAAGCAGCTGTACAGTGATATATTCGGGTTGTAGTCATTTAACACATGAAAATGTCTTAGTGAATAGGACTGTTTTTTTTATTAAAAAAATATAAATTGTCATATAAGAATATATTTTAAAACTGTTGTTTTTTTGCTTCCTAAGAAAACATGGGAGCAAAATTTATCAATAACCGTGAAGCAAGGTGGGACTCAAACTCTCATTTTTATAATAAAAAATGAGCTGTGTTTACATGCTACCACAAATAAAAAAGTACAATGACAGGCATTAGGAAGTACAGACTCTACTCTACATCAACTACACCCTAAGATGGCATGAGATAAGTGGCACTTGGCCGACTGTAAACACGAAAAACCTGCTGTGGCATTAAACTCCCTGCCATTAAAAAGCATCAAACACTGATCGGGTTGAGAGTCTTCTCAGGAATGGCTTGGTTGACAAGTCAGTCTCTAGAAGGGTACTGGCCCATAGTATGTGGTGTAAGCGCTCACGATCCCAGCTGTCTCTGCCATGTGCTCACAAGCCAGGTTGACCTCGCAGACCTCTTTGAGACTGGGGGACACAGGGGAGCAGGGCGTCACTCTCACAACACATTCACATGAAACAAACAGATGCTTTTTATAATCAGGGTGTAGAGTTTGTTTTAAAGGGGCTGCGATGGTTTGGATCAGTGTCTCTCACTCCGGTCCTTGGGGACCCACAGCTGGTCCACGTTTTTGCTCCCTCTCAGCTCCCTGCCAGACATTTTAGCAAAAAACATGGACTATCTGTGGGTCCCTGAGGACCAGATTGGGAAGCGATGCTTTAGATAGTTTTTTTTTATCATACATTGGCATGCAATATTTTATCAAGAAAGTATTGAAAGATGATTGATAGGTTATGTGCCTAATTGTAGCATGTTGATTGAATATTTCATAATATAATTAATGTTCTTATAGATACATCTGTATGGCATCTATAAGCATTAATTATACAAATCCACAGAATGAATGCTTTTATGTAAATGATCCAGTTAGATCATAGTTGCCAATCTGCAGAGTTTCTGCCAGATGTTCAGCTGCGTACCTCTCGAGCTGCGTGGGACTCAGGGCTGCAGCAGTTGCAGCTGCTCTTCTCTTCCTTTTCATGAGCTGAGAGGCCAGGTCCCGCTTCACCAGAACCTCTGAGGCACAAAGATTCAGAGTCAGGGTGAGGTTCCCCTTGTGGGGACTGAAAAGGTGGTTCCCACAATGTCAGTATAACAGGTTTTTATCTCATTGGTGGGACATTTGGTCCCCATAATGTAATACACACACACACCTCTGTCACTCACCAGTGCATGCACTGCACCCTCTCACTTTTCTGCATGCTTGCATTCTGCAGCAGTGCCGGCTTCACGTGCTATTATTTATCTACACAGATGCCACAAGTTCACATGCACGCTTGTGGCGAATCAGAAATGAACCAGCTTCCTCACCCTCGGCACTGGCAGAGGCAGAGCTTGAGGCAGATGAGGAGTCAGAGGCTGAGGAAGAGGCAGAGTCAGAAGCTGAGTCTGAGGCAGAATCGGAGGCACTGGAGTCGGAGGCACTGGAGTCAGAGGCAGAAGATGAGGCGCTGGAGTCAGCGGGAGTAGGAGCATCAGGGACGTCGACCTCAGCGGAGGGGAAGTCAGGGTCTGCAAAATCTGCTCATCGGAGAAAATACAACAAACATGACAGATGTAATCAAAGTCAATGGAGACAAGGGTCTTTTTTATTGGAGTCAATTAATGGACTTTAATAGATGCCCTCCCCCACATTGATGGAAATTTGCACATCCTCTCCCTTACCTCCAGTAGACAGACAGATGGACACAGCCCCACAAATAACCAGGACAGCAAAAGTCTTCATCTTTCCTTCTTTCTTTCTATGTCTTCTCTTGAGCTCTTTCTGGACGTTCGGCAAGGGTGAGCCCTACACACACTCTCTCTCTCCCCTAAATTCTGCCCGAATATATAGTTCTATCCTCCAACTGTTGACATATGATTGGCTGGGGAATCATGTGACATACACCCACAAATGCCAATTTAAGGCATATAACACTATCCTTGTGTCCTGCCTATAGAAAACAGCACATATTTGCCCCAGAGGCAGCATTAGTTAAAAGCCAGTGGGACCAATACCAGAGTCACACCCCTCTGAATTATTTTGCTCTTCTGTCATTCGCTGTCGAATGATCGTCCCTCATTGTGTGATTTGATATTGTGTGATTGGCTATAATGCCCCAATGCTATCCAATCACTGGCATTTGCCATCAGTGTTTGTAATCATTGTGTTGGGATTTTTTTTTTATACTGACTGTTCTCTCCCACAAACCCCAAACTATAGGGTAAACACAGCATCCGCTGGAGCAATATGTGGCCTAGGCAAACCTTATTTGGGATGTTTTAAAAGTATTATTTTTTTCCCTTTATAGGCACAACATTTTTTAGCTTAAGTAAAAACTGAAACCCCAAAACATTCTAAGTACATATGAGATTGTTTTATGATTATCACACGTTTTAATTTTGCCACATTATATCTGCACAATCACATCAAAGAGTCTGTTAGCATAGAACTTATAGACACCTGGATGTTATAGAATAATAAGCAAATGAAAAAGCATTAAATAAATTAGCTGCAGTAAAAGTGCATTGAGATGCACGTAAGTTAATAATGCTGCGTGCAGGTTACCTTAATACCCTGTATTTTGGGTAAATATACGAAGGGGAAAGTGTCTGGATGGACAGACTGGTGTGAGTTAAATGAAGGCTGTTGATGGAAGGCAGAGGGACCCCCCGCGTCCGAGCCCTCAGACCTGCCGAGCCAGACGAGCTCGGCCCTTCTGCGTTCTGACCTCTCTCATTTTCATCCTCCCTCTGTTATTCCTGGTCTTCCTCGTTTGCCTTGGCCCCGACAGGGGTGTAATTTTCCTGTCTGGCTTAGCGTCCCTGCCATGCGTGCACTCTGGCACGGGGGCACAGAGTCGGAGGAGGCTTTCCTGACTGACCTCGGGCTCGGGGTCCGAAGCCAACCCGGAGGCGGCGGTTGAGCCGGGAACGGATTATTTTCAGTGTATAGAAACACAGAGACGCACACAAACACGTAGAGGATGATATGCACAGTCTGATTTATTGTGCCTGATATTTCAGAGAATCTCGCACATGGACCTGCTCAGGATACCTGCGCCGATGTTTCACGCGTCAACAAAATAACACTACAGCAAAATCCCATCTAAAACACTGCATATATCTCCCAGAAGCCACTGCTTCTTATCCGGAAAAGTCTCCATAACAAGGCCCCTGTGTGGGCATTCTCCAGTATTAATATGGTGAAGAGTACAGTTGTGACACACTTTGACTTAAAAACATGGTGCACTTGGTGAATTTGACACAAATAAACAAAAAAGAGTGGAAGAATAACTGTTATGTTAGAATTTGTAGACTTGTTCCTCACCCAAAGCCTTGCATTGGATTTCAGACATTTTAAAAAAGCAAGTATTTCTTGCAAATGACATGTTTGTTTAGATCATTAATGTTGAGATGCATCATCAAGTTCTAATAATATGAGCAAGAAAGATAATAACATATATTATGTATACAGCACACAAAAAGGAGAAAGAAAATGTGTTTTATGTGCTTTTTCATTTTTATGTTGTTTTTTTTTTTTTACTTTCTACCATTGTTGGTATTTTGATTGGGGAAATATCTGTTGAAAGCATATTGGGTGCCGTAGTGATAGGCATCGGCACGACAAGGAGCATAATTCTCGCAGATCTCTGCCTGTCTCTCTGCTGGAGACTTCTGGACCCTGAGGAAGAGACAGCACAGAGAAGCAGCTAATTTCACAGAGACAGCACAGAGAAGCAGCTAATTTCACAGAGACAGCACAGAGAGGCAGCTCATTTCACAGAGACAGCACAGAGAAGTAGCTAATTTCACAGAGACAGCACAGAGAAGCAGCTAATTTCACAGAGACAGCACAGAGAAGCAGCTCATTTCATACACTAATTATCTGAATGTGGCTATTGAGATGAAAATTCAAATGCTGGTGTCTTTAACTGCCTTTAACACATGGTGGCTTGTTCCTTCCCCCATTTCATTATGATTAAATATTTCAGAAGGCACAAGAATATCAGCTCAGTAAATAAAGCACCAGCTTACATTACATCAATTGCTGGAGTATGGAGAGATGAAAACTGGATATTTTAAAACCAAGGATCAGGGGCATTGGAGCAGCATGGATATTCTGACAGATCCAGGGGGCCCTGCACTATTTAGGGGCCCCAAAAAATTAGCTTACAAGGCAACTCCCCCAGCTCAACAAAATGGGGCCCAGAATTTCTAGCTGCACCCCTATGAGACAACATTTTTCAATTGTGGTGAAAGCACATACTATTATTACATTATTTGTAATTTGATAAATAACACATAATTAATTACCGATATATTATTTATCAACAATATAAAATGAATTGAGCCGTGGATTTCACCCTTACTAACATGACTACACAGTCAGGGCTTTGGGTCCAAAATGATTTTAAATGTGCCCTAAACGGACATATCATTCTAGTGTAAATAATGGCTCAGGTGAAACGAAAATCTCTAGTTACCCAAGCTTGTAGAGTGCGCCTCTGATGGCTAAACTATGCTACTACAATCACTACAGCAGCCACTGGGGGTCAGGCTGTACGCGCCCTCTGTAGTCCTGCAGGTATAATAATGAAATGTTGCGCTACCGGCTAATCGGATCGTTAAAAGAAAGATGGTTACTACTCTTGCGTGACAGTTTTACCTTCCGTTGTTGTTGCGTGTTTCTTGGTTGTCAAAGAACGAGTTGGCCTGTTCTTGGTTGGAAAACAGATCTGGAATTTGGATAATTAAAAAACATCAGAATACGATGAATCAAAATTAAAAATATACAATTTCCAGTAAACAGTAGGCATATAGGGTCGGTTTCAAAGAATAACGTGGGAATAAATTACATAAATGTCAGTGACAAGCAGAAAAGTTTATTTTAAGAGGGAAAACCTCAGTACGATACCAGCCGAGCTGTAAGAAAAGCCAGAAAAATGCGTTATTTTCTGCATTTCGGCTTGGTACTCTTCATTGCATATTTGTGCTGGTTTCAATGTCTGGGCACATGGTCTGTTTATGTTTTTATAGCTGTCAAGCTTTTCGTCAGGAGTAACGCAAGGACATTTCTCTGTAGGAACAGACGTGCAGCACGCATTTGTACTTCAGGAGTAAAACATTTCTCTTTACCTTCGGGTGATTCATTACTCTCCTGCGATTCTGCAAAGGAATGTGTATGTGGAACAATTAAGTATATAAAATATACAATACTTAGCACAATTCATTAGATGCAAAAATTAACGCAGGAAACCCTTGCATTGTATATATTACTTTATGAACTTGAGCCGTGTTTTCATTCTCAAGACATGGAAATACGTGGCATATCCGAGATAACAACGCGGAATAAAAAAATACATCTGATCTACGTGCGTTTTTACAGCTGTCCACTAGAGGGCAACGAAAACTCTGACTAAATGGTCGCGTGGTCCGACCGCACGGAGATGTCATACCGGAGCAGGCGCTCAGAGCGAGAATCGCACTCAGTGCGACAAACAGGAGGGCGACCTTCATTCTGCCTGAAAAAGAATAAAAGATGCCATTAGATGGAAGATGGAAACAAGGGCCCTCCATGCCTGAGACTGGATGTTTGAAGAGAGAGGCTTTCATTTACGCAGAGATGTCTACTGATATGGAGAGATAATGAAGAATAATAATATAATTATTAAACAGAAAACAGTTTTCTTAAGGAGAACAGTCTGTGGAGACTGTGAACAAAGCAGGAGACACAGATTGCAGGTCATAGATGCTGGCTGAGGCCCCATCGTAGGCAGGGCTCTGCATCCTGCCAAGCCACTGTGGAACCACACAATGTCAGCCAGGAGATTCCCCGCAGAGGGCACCGCCCCCTGATATGGGACCCTACGCCAGGGTCCCTCCTGTCAGACAGTCTTTCGGCTGATCCATGTCCCTCCCTCAGCACAGATAAAGCCTGGGACGTCAGGCTGGGATAGAGGCTGCTAAGGTCTCCTTACATTGCATGGACTTTTACATTCCAGAGACATCTGTGCTACAGAATCAGGCCTTTCTCAATGCAATCCTGCAGTATGCATCTTCGGCACCGAGAGCAGCTACAGCTGCATATATATATATATATATATATATATATATATATATATATATATATATACACATATATATATATATATATTACATACACATACACAAATGTCTTTTTTTTAACGACCAAAACATGACTTGTGAAAACTTGTGAAGAAGAGGTGGGAAAAAATGACTTCCACACAAATAAGGGAAAATACTGGCTAATAGCATGTTGTTCCATCAGCAGATGTTAGAAACGTTTCACGTGTCACTTACCGTTAAGCTGCGCTGAGGTGTTTTTCCAGACCGCTTTAATTAAACGTTCCCTCTGTCTTTCCTTCTGACTGCCAGGGTGTGAAAGTCCTCACAGCCTGGCTTTTATACGTACATGGACTCGCCTGCACCTCTCCTTCACTCACTCCCTTTTCTCACTTTCCCCTCCCTTCACCTATCAATCCAACCCACCGACTCACTAGCTACAGTCAGATTATCCACCCCCCCCTTCAGATAGTGTGTCCAGAGTGTTCCACAGGAGCCCAGTTAGCCACCTGTCCACACAGTGTTTTTTTTCCCCCAAAACATTTAGCAAAAACAGTCGGGCCATTCGGACACAACAGGAACAGGAAGTCCACAGGAATTCAAGACACTCTGTTCACGATACCAGTGTTGTTGATCTGTTCGTTCAGTAAGTACTTTAACAAATGCTAGTAATATTACAGCAGTACTACAGTAATCTGCCACACCATTAGCCTGAATGATCAAAAAGAGGGTTCATATACAAAAAATTGGAGAAGAAACAATTCTGACATGTTCCATCCATTGATTAACTCCTTGGCCCTGGTCAACAGGCTGGCAAAGGCTGGGGTAAACCCTAGAAGGGAAATCAGTCTACCCTAGAAGGGACAGCAGTCTACCCTGGAAGGGACAGCAGTCTACCCTGGAAGGGACGGCAGTCTATTGCAGGGCACATACACACTATCTGCAATTTTGAAATGCCAGGTAACCTAAGTGTGGTCTTTTCAACTGCAGGAGAAAACCGGGACGACAGACCGCACAATCTCCACAGATCCACAGCCCTGGAGGTGTGAGGCACCAAGGCAACCCACAGAGCCACCATACCACTCAAATGCAGATGCTTATTCTAATTTTGGCACAATTGCATTTGGAGGTTGACACTGATGGGCCATAAACCTATGATCATCCCTCAGATAACCACAAAGGACTCATCATTCCCCCCCTCCAGGAGCCGGGATCTGGCCAGTTTGGGCACTATATGCGTCTGTGGTTTCATGGTGTTTGGCTCCAACGTGGAGCTGTTGAAGGTCCCCTCTCTCCAGATGTAAACACCAACAGGAAGACAAGGAATGCAGATCACATCGTGATGAGACGTTTACATTCTCGTTTATTGTCGGCACTGTGGCGCATAATCAGTTGGCTGATCTCCTGATGCAGACAAATCATGGTTTGGTGGTGAAGAAGACAGGGAGAGATAACAAAAAAGGAAGAGTGAAGGAGGGAGATGGAGGACGAAAGTGAGTAAATGGCAGTACTGACAGCCATATCAGTAGCTTTACTTCATAATTCTATATCTGCCCTTAATTAGCCCTTAATTATTAAGCTCACGCTGTATTTCAATGTCCGAATCTTCTGACACTGGTGACTTCTTGTGCTACCATTTTTGGAAGAGAATATTCCCTTTTTCTGTCCTTTGAAACCAGTCAGGAATTCCCTGGCGCATACACTGTCATTTACTGTAAACCATTATCTCATCCAGTGAGATCATAGTTACCAAACTAAAATAATGTTGTGAAGATGAACGTGGATGGATGGACAGAGAAGGGTCAGCTGACTTCGATCAATAGAGCCTCCCATTTGTCAAAGTCAGGAGGAACGAACAGAGGAAGGGAGTTTGATCAAAAGCAGGATGAGGGCAGAAAGATAAGAGGTGAAATTAGCACAATTTTTCCAACTGACGCCTCGTTACATAATTTTTTCTCTGTACTTTCATTCATTTACTTCCTGTATTTCTCTCCAGTCTTACTAATGAGGATGTCTGCAATCATCTACACTTGTGTGCATCACTACAGAAAAAAAGATTCATTTGAGAAATTATCTCATGTAAGAAGGTCGATACAAAATGCTTGCAACATGAACAAGAAGCCAATGTGTAAAGCCTTCCCAGTCTGACGTATCCAATTCACACACCCATCCATCTTCCAGTCACTTACCCCAGTCAGGGCTGTGGGCCTGGACTCTATCCCTTCCAGCTTCAGGCAGATGGCCAGGGTACACCCTGAATCACAGGCCGGGGTACACCCTGAATCACAGGCCGGGGTACACCCTGAATCACAGGCCG